GCATTTTATTGCCAAGTGTTCCACACGTGAGTATAGATGATTCAAATATATTTTATAAAGATTAATTTTTTGATTCAATTTAATAATTTTGATTTCAATCAATGAATGAAAGACTTTTTGTTTTTTATTAACACTATAATATTGTATACTTTAAAAATTTCATTAAACAATAATATTGGCTTAAACTCCAGTCGTCAGAGACGAAAATATTACTAAAGCTCGAAAAGTCATACCAACAAGCTGCATTTTGCTGACTATCAACTTTGTGACCCCAAAAAATATGCAATAATCGGACCACTTTTTTGCCTTGGCCTTCCCATAAAACTTCGCTTGTAGAAGAAAAACGAAAAAAAAAAAATCAATTTACCAAGAATTTGTACACCGTAGAAAAAAATGTTTTAAATAAAAATGTAGCTGAGGTAATTTTAAACAAAAATGCAACGTAAACGCAATTTTAAAAAGATTTATGTGATAGAAGCTGATCATTCACCATATATTCCTGTCTGTTATCTCTTCACCATAAATTTTCCTATATTTCAGTCCCATATTTTCATTATGCCTTCTAATTGCGTACTAGTTATCTGCTTTAGTCGAGCATGAACTATGGAATAATAGTACTGTACAACACTCACACGAAAGTCAAAGATCACTTAAGAATAAGCAAAAAAAAGTATTTTGTATCGTTGCGGACATAAAACAGAAAGTAAAGGACTCCGTGAAGACAAGAAAATCCGGGCAAGACCTCCACCGTAATCGACAGACGACATACGGAGAATAGAGCCTAACTAGATGCAACTTACACCGAACAGAATTTACTGGAGGATGCTTATGTCCAGCACTACACGCAAAAAGTATGTAAATACTTTTTGCGACATAATAATAATAATAAAGTAAATAATCGACATAATATAGGTGTATAACTTGACTAGCCAATGGAGACTCGAACAGAACATTATAGGAAATTGAGGCGAGCATAAAGAAACAAATGGACAGAACTTCTTCTAATGTACAGTGCCAACAAAGAATTAACTATGGCAAACACCATGTTTACACATCCCCCGCGACGATTATACACATGAAAGTTACCCGACAATATATATCGAAATCAAGTAGATTTCATACTAATTCCCAAAGATGATTAAACTCTATTTGGAACGCCAGGAGATACCCAGGCACTGCAGGTGGTTTTGGTCACCAAGTATTTGTGAGAATAGTCCACATAAAATTCAAAGCGTCAGATGCCACCTTCAAACAAACTAACGAATGATACTTATCAGCAATCATTTCAGAACGATAAAATATATTGCACTGAAATTCAAAAATGACGTTCTACGTTATATGGAAGAAAGTCATGAATAAAAAGCGTAACCTTGAATGTTATTCAGAGCAGCCTTTATGAAGATAAGGAAGTTTATGAGTAGCGAAAGACTCAATTTGCAAATACGATATGGGATGGTAAAATAATCTACTCTATAGTATCAAAACTTGGACTGTTAATGTTGACTTTATGCGAAAGACTTTGAGACGTGGCTTTTTAGGAGAATTTTTATACCATGGACCAATCATATTAGGAACAAAATTGTGTTGTGCAGAATGTTAACAGACAGATAACTTTTGACCACGATTAGGGAACATATTTAAAAATATTAAGTACGAGTTGTTGCAGCTGATTTTGAAGAGTAAAATTGAAGTAAAAAAGGGTCCGGCTAAATGACAAATATCCTGGCAGAAATATATATATTTGACGGGATTGGGATAAACACGAGTTGCTTTTAAGAAAAGCTAAAGATAAAGACGAATTCGCAATGGTTATAGCTAACACAAAAAAATTACGTCGATAAAATGGAATTGGGCAGAATATGTCACCAGATTATCAGACAACCGATGGACACAACGTATTGTTGAGTGGAGACCAAGTCAAGAAGCACCACGGAGCAGAGAACGCCCACCAGCCAGATTAAACTGACGACCTGATGCGTATTATTAGTAACTGGATACAAGCCCCATAAGAAAGAGACACATGGAAAGAGCCGAGGGAGATCTATGTCCAGCAGTGGACGTATATAGGTTGATGATCATGATGTTGATGATGCTAATGATGATGATAGCCAACCTTCATTAGTGAAGTCGGCAGTAGAAAAAGAACAACAACAACAATTTATCGCCCAATTCGCAGTTTTGGCCTTTTTGTATTTGGGCCTTTATTATTCATTTTATATTTTTTATTCCTGACCATTGAAGTAATTGTCTTTACTGGTGTAGAGAATTATCGAAATGAAACACGAAATCCACAGTTTTTTTTTTCAAACGACACGTGCACCGTACGTGTGTGAAAGCTATTGCTTATGTTTTAGGATTACCTCTAATCTTTGTCAAAGGAAACATGTCAGTTTCGTGAGACATAGAATAGATTATGAAACCTCCTCTCTTACCCTACCTTCAGGTACATCAACATTCAAATTTTTAGAACAATACCGTAATGCCACAGTTTTAGAGTCACCATAGATTTCTTTACATAGACTGTCGAGTCTCGAGATTTCCAGATTTATCACTAATATAACACGTGTGGGACATGATGGATCTGAGACTTTTTCATTTAGTACATTCTCCTAAAACTTCGGAAGCAGTTCTAAAGGAGAAAATTGAGGTATAGAACGAGATATCCATGAACATAATATTGACCATCTAATCAGAAGCGAACAAGACGTATCCACCGTTGCTCACCAAGTTGCAATAAAACATTAATAATTAATTTATCCCAATAAATTGTTTAGAAGAAAAAAAAGAAGAAGAAGAATGAAAATAACACCAAAACAAAATTTTCTACAGGAAATCACCAAGAAAAAGTTCAATGTAGAATCACTGTGGAACGACTCTACAAGAGAAATGTACCAAAGGACGCTAGCACAGAAGATACAGCTGAAACAAATAGCCTACATCGAAGATATAAACGCGGACTGAGAGAAAATTAAAAACAACATTGAACAAGCAGCAACAGAAGCGCTACTAAAACGTAAAGCTATACTGAACAAAATAAACAACAACAATACACCGCGGTTCAGAAAAGAAAAAAAAGAGAAATGTAATGAGAAACGAGAGGCCTACATAAAGTACAAAACATTAAATGCCCTAGAACCCCTAGACAACTATAGAAGAATACGAAATAAAACAAAGGAAACAGTTTACAAAAAGGATGGAAAGCGACTTCTACGGTACATAAAAACAAATATCGAGATTTTTAAGAAACCAACGGAAATAAATGGCAGAATTGAAGGAATGCAATGACATACCAGCAAACGAATGGAGAAAATACCTGACGAAACTGTTTAAAACAAAGGAAAATAATAAACAACACAATAACGTACCTGAATTACGACACGAAATAGAAATCAGTTTTCAGAAAGTAGAAATAGCCATAAATTTAATCAAAAATAGAAAGTCACCAGGACCAGACGGAATAACCAACGAGCTTCTAAAATTCGGAGAAGAAAGTATAACCCTAGAGATGACAAAACTTACACAAAAACTAATATTGCGCTGCAAGATACCAAACGCTTGGAGAAACAGCATAATGATACAAATGTTCAAGAAAGGAGTTAAAGAAGACCCAACAATTATGGAGGTATAAATCTACTAAACACCTCACTTCAGCTTACCACAAAAATCCTGGCCAACAAAATCAACTAATAACTTTATCAGATGAACAACAAGGATTCAGTTTCGGAAGATCCTGTTTAGACGCCGTATTTGTACTAAGACAAATCACAGAAAAGGCCAACATATCTATGTTTCGTAGACCTGATAAAGGCTTTCGATTGCATCCAAGTTGAAGGCGTCTTACACCTAGTGTATAAAAGAAACATACCAATCAACATTATACAAACCATCTAAAACATCTACTCCCATAATCCAATACCGACAAAGATAAATGGAAAACTAACACAGTATATACCAGTACAAAGCAAAGTCAGGCAGGGTGACTCGTTAAGCCCACTTTTCTTTTTTATAATAATGGACGAAATAATACAAGCAGTACGTAAAGGTCATGGCTACAGAATTGGGAACAAAGAACTCCAAATATTATGTTATGCAGACGACGCCGCATTAATCGCCGAGACAGAATATCAACTCCACAGATTAACACACAGTAAAACAGCCAAGAAATACGATATGATAAGATCATCCGAAAAAACCAAATGTATGACATCTAAACATCTAAGTACCCACTACGATGTGAAATCGAAATTGATGGGAAGATAATAAAGCATTAAGCAAGGTTTAAATAGATATAAGTGGTTACGTAGATGTTGGAGAAGAAGTACGACCACAAAGCTTAACAGCAAGTAAAGCGGCGGGATCTCTTAATGACACAATCTGGAAGAACAAACACCTAAGACAAAACACAAAAGCAAGAATCTATAAAGCAGCAATTAGACCTATATTAACATACACGGCGGAGACAAGACCTGACATATCTAAAACGAGACGACTACTAGAAACAACAGAGATGAGAATACTCCAACGAATATTAGGGAAACGTCTGTTGAATGGGGAGAGAAGAGAAAACATAAGAAGAGCATGCAATATAGACGACATAAATGGATGGGTGACAAAACAAAAACAGGAGTGAAACGAACACATCAGTAGAATGGCAGAGGATAGAATAGTACGAATAGCACGAGATAAGTCACCAAATGGACAAAGAAGTATTGGCAGACCAAGAAAAAGATGGTGCGACAATATAAAGGAATTTAGGAGGCTAATATTGAAAAAGAAACAGGCGTTAAAGCCTACATACAAGAAGGAAAAAGAAATTTTAATTGTTTGTTTATTTTACTACCCTGTGTAATTATACAAAATATAAAAATTTATAAAAGGTGTACAGATTCAAATGTCAGTCACAGTATTTAACATAACACAACATTTACATACACATTACACACCCAATTTAACATAAAAATTTTTATTTTATGTTGGTATTTAAGAAACTAATAACTTACATAACATCATTGGAATGATCCCAAGTTAATATCCTCGTAATTTCATATCTACCATGTGTTAGAGGAATAAAACGTCGTTTCGGAATGTTTACTGCTACGGCATGCCTAAAAGTTCCGGCAGGACCATCCCTAAGTGGTGCAATAGTAATATAATTTGAACTGTCAGTTCCAAAAACGGGACTATCACTCATATCCACCCATCCGTGGCCATCGCTAGTTATACGTTGTGTCTGCAACATAAATCAAATAGATATGGGTATAAAATATTTCGTTACAATAAATAAATATTTTGGGTTATTTATAAAAAAATATATGCCAGTTATCAATCAAATACAATTTATTGCAACGTTCAATAAATTGAAATTGGAAATATGAAGGACCAACACTTTTAGCTTTACCTCTTAATTACACAAAATATAATCAATAGTAGGGTATAAGTAACCTTTTTATTCTATATATTACGTGCCCCCAAGTTTCAGGATACGGGCAACAATATATTAACTTATATTACAGTTCTTATAGTAGGGATCCTGGTGCAGAAAAATGTAAGTGGGTGCCTAGTAATACTTTACTTTGGTTGCATTAATGGTTTGTAGCTAAATCGTACAAGACATGATGCTAATAAAACGGGCATTCGAGCATTAAATATCCTAAAGTCTTTTCAGGTCATAATAATGAACAGACTTTTTCAAATATACCAAATATTATACTGAAATGACTGCACCTGTCGAGATAAAATATTCCGGAAGCAAATTAACAAGTTCAAGCGTAAAATTAGTTTATTGCTAATTATCTCTCTATTGTTTCAGATAATTAACTTGCAACAATGTTAAACAGAACCGCAGAGATTTAAGAAGCTGCTGCACGACTAGGAAGTACATCAGATCCGTCAGGTCGATAATGTTCTACCAGTGATACTGAAAATCCAAATATTATTGTTAGTTTCCATTTATATTCTTTACTTTAAAATAGAATCGATCAACCTCAAAGTTATGTGAAGCAATCATAGCGATTACGTCGAAGAAACTATTCAGCAGAAATATTTTCATCAGGTGATGAAAGCGACACTTTCTTACCAGCCTTCAGATCAACAAGAAAGTGAAGACGAGAGTTCTTCAGAAGATGAGTCGTCTGGCAATGACAATAATCAAGTTAATGGAACCATAGTAAATCGTCAAGAAACTGCAACAAATAAAAAAAAAAGGACCGATGATAGTTGGGGGCCATGCGGACAAGTCTCAAATAATTTTCAGTTTACTTTACAAATTGGCTGTCAACTCAATCTAAATGACATTTGCGACCCTTACAACAGCTATCGCCCATTTATCGACGATAACGTGCTGGAACTAATAGTGAGATAAACAAAGAGATATGCGGACCAGTACGTTAGAAGTCACGAAATTTCTCGCGAAAGGTCAGAAGTACGTAAATGGACTGACACCAACATAAGAAAAATTTGATTTTCTTTTGGTATTCTTTTGGCTATGGGAATAAATCATCTTACCACATTGTACCACCTATAGTACATGACGGCTGCTAAAATAAGTCGGCATGTACCACATGTGGTACACGACGGCATGAACATGTTAAGCCTCCGTGCGAATTTCTGAAGGAGAAATATTTTGAGGTAAGGACACCATTACAGGTTAGAAAAATCATAATAGGATCTTGCAATCTTAGAAGTCGTATATGTCGCATATTTTCACTATGCAACAAAACTTGTTTAATTTACTGTTTGTATTTTGAGAACGATTTCCGAAGTGGAAATTGAAACGTCAATAAACGTATTTTTATCTTTAATTGTGGCTTATTCCCAGTTTAATAGTAATTAATTTACAATGCCACAAGAAAATAGCTTCAGAACAATATTGATAATGTAGATATACTTTGAAGTATGTTTTATGGACCTACTATATTTAAAGCTATCCTGGGGTTTTGCTAAGATTTGTTCGATTTGAAGATAAGGGCACGAGGTCTAAACGAAAAAAGAACAACAGATTAGCAGAAATACGCGATGTGTGGAATCAAGTCAACCACAACTTTCGGAACTACTATTTATCAGGAAACAACATAACGGTAGATGAGCAACTTGTTCCGTATCGAGGTAGGTATTCATTCAAGCAGTATATGCCTTCAAAGCCAGATAAGTATGGCATGAAAATATGGTGGGCCTGTAACTCGGAAACATATTACCCTTTAGGTGGAATATCATATAGAGAGAAAAACAAAAATACAATAGCCAAAGGTCTTGCATCTCAAGTTGTAAAGCAACTTATTGAGTTTTATGTTAATGCCAAGAGAAATGTAACTTGTGATAACTATTTTACTGATCTTCCTCTTGTACATGAATTACTAGCAAATTCACTAACTCTTGTGGACACAGTGAAAAACATAACAGATTTGTTCCTTGGAAATTTCTACCAAACAAGAACCATTTAGAGACATCTTTGATTTTCGGATTCACTCCAAAAGCATCTCTTGTTTCTTACATTTCGAAAAAACAAAGAATTGTCACAGTCTGTATCACAATGCTTACTGTGCAGATAATGTTGATTAAAAACCAGATATGATACTCTATTATTATACTACAAAATGTGGTGTCGATACGCTAGACCAAATGGTTCATAAATATATGTGCAAAAGACGAACTAACCGTTGGCCTTTTGCATTTTTTATGAATAGCTTAGACATGGCTGGGGTAGCCTCATTTAATAGTTTGAGAAATTTAAATCCAAAATAGAACGAAAACAAAAATGAAAAGCGACGATTGTATTTTACAACGACAGAAGAACAACTATTTTGACAAGAAATTTTAAGAAGAAAATCAAGGCGACTACAATAGAAAACAAAACACTGTATTGAAAAATGCTTACAGGAAGTTGAACCACACAGTAAAAAGCAAAAACTAGAAAAACCTACAGTTTTAACAAGGAGAAGGTGTCACATGTACATACCAAAAAAGGAGAGGAAACTGAAAGAAGGAAATATTGAAATAAAGAAAAATAAATGACTTATCTATGGTTTTTTATGTTTATTGTTTTACACTTTTACAATTTGCTATTCTAGTTGGGAATAAGCTAATCTTGTGGCTTAGTCCCACCTACAATAGTAAATTGATATGACAAAGTGTTAATTTGTAAAAGTAAAATAATAATATTCTTCTGACTTATGCGTTTAATTAATTTTGTAAAAAATGTTTTTGTCGGTACTATACACACGGCTGCTAATTACCATAATATTTTCTCAGAAGGGTTTTCACACAATAATGACAGGCAACAACACCGTAATCTTTTTGCCAGGGTATGCGTAAACATCAATCCCCGTTTTCAAATAAAATGACCTGGTAGATTTAAAAAAGTTTTTATTTATTCATTAATTAAGTCTTTATTTGGCCCCAAATGTTTATTACTTGTGAATAAACATTTTTTCTAAAAAAGTTTTCTTGCATTTCATTATTTTGTGGATAGCTTATCTTCCATAACCTAATATGGAAGAGAAAAGTAATACCCAGAGAATGGACAAATGCAGTAATTATACCCATATACAAGAAAGGAAACACAAGAGACTGTAAGAACTATAAAGGTATATCACTACTATATGTAGCAGCAAAATCAGAAAAGAAATAGAACATAAATTAGAGGATGTACAAAGTGGATTCAGGAAAGGACACAACACACAAGACCATATATTCACCATGCAACAAGTCATAGAAAAGGCCTTAAAGAAAAATAGAGAAATATATCTGAGCTTAATAGACATGGAAAAAGCATTCGACTCAGTCAAAAGAAAAAATATATGGGAAAGCCCAAAAAAGAAACAAGTAAGTGAAGAACTGATAGAAGCAACAAAGAGTATATAGGTACATAAAAACAACAAACACAGTAAGAATGTCAAATATGCAGTCAGAACCATTTGAAACAACTCAAGGAGTTAGACAAGGAGGAAGTCTCAGCCCAGTGCTATTTATAAATATAATAGATGAGATAGTAAAAAAATGTAAGAAAACGTTCAAGAAATACTGCATCGGTTGGAACAGAACGCAAATGATAAACACTGAGATGTGTATATTTGCAGACGACATAGTATTAATTGCGGAAACAGCAGAAAAACTGAAATACAACTTAGAGAAATTGAACCTAGAAGCAAGCAAATACAACTTAAACGTAAACAAAGAGAAGACTAGAAGACTATGACAATATTAAGGAAACAAGGGACGGAAGATCAACTAGAAATAATGATAGACCAACAAAAAATAATACAGACAAATTCATACAAATACTTAGGAACAGTAATCAACAACAAAGGAGATATCGAGGACGATCTTAACAATAGAATGGAAAACACAGGAAAACTATTCCAATCACTAAATAGAGGATTTCTTAATAACAAAGAAATATCAACAAAGACCAAGATGACAATATACAAAACAATATATAGACCTACAGTGACATATGAAGCAGAAAATTGGATACTAAACAAAAGGCATCAAAGCAGAATTCAGGCAGCAGAAATGAAATACCTCAGAAGAACGATCGGAGTAAAAAGAACTGATAGAATCAGAAATGAAGAAATAAGAGAAAGACTAAAAATCAAACCGATTCTCGAATCAATTAAGGAGAAAAAATTGGCATGGTTCGGACATCTAACCCGGATGGACAATAATAGGCAAGTAAAAAGAGTGTGGGACGCCAAACCAACAGGGAAGAACAGAAGAGGAAGTCCCATTAAAGAATGGAACAGTGACATCTCGCAGATACTTGCAGATACTGCAAGACTTGGCAGGCAGCAACTCAGATGGCATACAATAGGAAGGAATGGAGAAAGTTTGTTAAGAGCTAGGACACCTCAGAAGATTATAAAATATTGTAATATAAAGAATTGTATTATAAACGGCCCAACACCGAAAGGAACAAATGGGTCTACTGATTAAGTAAGTAAAGTCATTATTTTGTGCAAATCCTTCAGGTACATCGCACCCTCGAGGTAGACCACATACTTGGTAGCACCTTTTTGTAATCTAGATATTTTAAATTTAACTTTAATAAAAAATCAACAAAGAATATTAGAAATATATGGGTAAATATGAATAGTGTATTGAAGACCAGTGGTGGGCCCAGCGGACCCGAGCTGCCCGGTTACGTAAGTAAAATGTGTTGCCCGGATTAGGGTTACGAGACCAGGTGGACAGAACAAGCGAGGACATATCTACGAAAAATATACAAATTGTGGT